AACACTGCCAACATCAAAGAGCCATTTATTGATCATCTATGTTAAAATGAGGCAACTTTAAACTGGGACATCTGTGTTGTTAACTCTCCTTCTAAACTCATTTATGGCCCTGCCCAAATATTGCATATATCCTAAACTAAAACTGCAGTGACCCCCCCCCCCACAAAAAAAAAAAAAAATGTGAACTAGCAGCAAAATTTACCCTCTGTTGTTTACTTCATCATGACACTGGCCCTGAACTTAGTATAGCTCAGTGAAAAAAAAAAGGTATGTACCCTTCAGGACAAATTCTTGACTACTCCAAGGACACATGTGAATTTGTGTGTTTAATGATTCAGCTCTTCATTTTTTTTCTCTGAGCTAAGTATGTTTGGAAATAGAAGTTGTTAATTTGCTTCTAGCTTGCAGCATTGTGCAGGTCTAATTCTGCATTAATGTTAATGTGAGGGAGAACCACTTTTTGTTCCTGGTTTTTATTGAGAAAGCACAGTGATCTACTTCCTGACAGTCTGACACACTTCCTCCATGCAATGACCCACTTTGCAGGCCTCCTTACTGGCCCAAAATTGGCCACTTACATAACAGGCCTCCAATATTCCGCCTGGAGTTCAGGACCAATAGCCCTCACCAAACCAGTGGCTGGCATTCTCCTACAATAACCAGTCAGGTCATTCTAGCAAGTCACTTCACCTTATCCCATCATACTGACCTCACGACAAATAGTGTTGAGGCATACAAGCATAACTAATAACCTTATGGTGAGGCTTCAACACTTATAGAGGTAAGGCATCCACAAATCAGAAGTGAGCACTTATAAACAAGAAAAAGATATATATAAAAAACTCTTTCACTTCTAGAATCACATGCACCACCCCAAAGCAAACATGCTGGGAATCCAGGATAAGAATGTTGTCCAGGAAATATCCAGGAGGGGGGGTGACAGAACACAGAATTTCCCTTTTGGGGCTGTGTTGATGAAGCCAGCGGTGGTAGTCACTGGGTTTGTTCGATAACCCCAATCCGGGAATGTGTCACAGCAGGGGATCAATAGGAGTGCACATTCATGGGGGGGGGGGGGGGGATTAATGGCAATGAGCACACAGCTGACTGATAACCGGGGATAAACAGCCAGTTCAGACAGACTGAACTCTCTAAGTAACCTCTTGCTTCAGCTCTTGCTCAACCGAGTTTCATGATGATTCTTGTTTATGAGAAAAGTGTGACTCCCCCAGGGCTGGACAAGGTATAAAAATCAGTCCTGGACTTTTGCTGACTTGAGGGGGTGTGGGGTCACACATACTCTCACCCCCCCCCCCCACCATACTCTCTGGCCCATTGGGAAAATGCCTGACATGCCAGATGGCCAGTCAAGCCCTAGTCTCCCTGTTAAAAAGCTAGTTGTGTGTGAAGGTCACATGACCTACTATGTTTTCATTATATCAATACGCAGGTTTTGGCCGGACAGTTAGTAATCTTTTCCGTCAGCAATTATTTAAAAATTTTCCTCTGCTAAACATTCCATAATAATATCTCTAATGCAACTTATATGATGATTCGTGGAAAATTACTCAGCAATTCTCAAAACGCAAAAAGAGAATAGCTCATATTGTTATTAGGTAAAGTAGAAACACCACAGGGTGTTCCCATCTCGTGCGCTGTGCTGCCTGGAATTCCTGTCATGCTCTCCATGACCCTGTACTGGATCAATAGCTGAATGCCAGTCAGAAAGTACAATAGGGACTTGGTAGTTTGGCCTAAGGGTGATTCTCATTTTGAGAGGACATTAAGTTTGCAATCAGTACTTCTGGCGCAAAAATTGCATTCAGTACTGCAATAAGCATACATGTCATTTTGAGCCCTAGTTCGGAGGCAGTGAGCAAAGTTCTTTGTTGCATCTGACGCAGCGATGACAGCGGACCTCAATGCTGCCCCCCTCCCCCCCCGGGCATTCCGTTTTTCTGAGAATCTCCGCCAACTGTTGACTTCCCTCGGCTATTTTGCAGGAAACGCTGCATCCCGCTCTCCATCTGTCCCCTCCTCTGAGCTGATGTTTAAAATGTTTTCCACAGTCACACAAACAACTCGCACAACTACTCGTTTCTTTCACCCTCAGTTTAGTGAAGATGCCCCCCCATCTGTTTGATACTTCCACAGTCCATTCATCAGAAGGAGTCACGGGCACAGCCGCTTGTTTCGATCAAATGAAGCCGTGTTCTTCACTGAAAAAGAAAGTCATCATGGTAAAAGGAGTAGAAATGATAATGAATGGATTGGCTTATGGCCACTGTTATCACTTCAAAGGGCAATGAAAGCAAATAAAGGGCTGCTGGCTGACTGTGATTACTGGAAAATCAACACAAAATCTACCATATCGTGTGACCAGAGCACTTTATTCAACTGACCTGTTTGTAAAAAAAATTACCTACACAATGGACTATCAGAATCAGATGCTTACATAAAAAGTGCTCGGACTTGTGTAAGGCCATGTACAGGAGTGACCCTCTTAGAAATTGAAACACAATGTGCTTTCAAATGTAATACATCCGCCAAGTTTCATAACTTGGTGAATAAAGCTGAGATGGGAAAATATATGACGCTGATGTGGGGTTGGGCTCACTAAACTCATGTCTGTAAATATGTTGTTGTTTTATACACAAATAAAAGGCCATCAGACCATTAGAGAGAACTATGCCACAAAATCCAGTTACAATACTTAAGGCAAAGTATATTATAATATTTGGAATGTGGACTATAATGAAGCATTCTTTTTTAATTACTAAAACATTAAAAACAATTAAACAGAGAACGAATTCCAGTCCTGTGTTTCCAGATTAGTGTTAAATAATATGTTTTAGCCCTGGGGTACAGCAACATTCTTAGCAAGCTTTCACGTTTTCATGGTCACCTGATGAAATCATGCATAGTAATGTGATCTATGCAGCTTGAGCGTGTCAACGTCACTATGCTACACGAGTTTCGCTGTCTGGAAATTCACGGTTAAGCGTCAGTTGCATTTGTTTGTATCCCTTCTCCGTCGTTATCATTTATTGCCATCTTGTGGTTGAATGATATACTGCACTCAGCAAAACGCCGATTTAACGCCACCATGACACGGTCTTTGACTAAAATAGGAATACCGGAATGCACTGGTTTTCTGCCAGTAGTATTCGCTGCCTCGAGTCTGGTGCTTCCGGAAATAAGCTACACGTTCACTGTGACTCTGCAGTGGATAAAAGATTAAATTCTGCCTCGTTACTATACTATGATTAACCATCAAGAATGACAAATTATTTAAAAACAAGGGAAACATAACTTTAACTATCCTTCCCAACAGAGAAGTGTTCCCACATAAAATAAAACTCATGTTACACACATAAGATATACTTTTAAAAGATTAATGACATATTGTAGTATTCAGATTACACCTCATGAATATGAAAATACCATACTTGAAGAATTGAGAATATGCCATACTTGTAGAATATGTAGAAATGAGAAACACAGACATATGTCTCAATTATGAAATCTGCAATTAAAACATTCAGGTTATTCTCCTTTTCTCTGCATATTTATGATATCCCTGCATTAGGGAAACGCCCTTCCGATGGTCCAAGCCAACACACGTGGGTGTGGACTCAAACCAAGCATGTAAAGATAAAACAATCAAAAACAGACTTCAGGAAGACCTGCTAGGGTGGGAAGAGAAACTTGTATATGATAATGAGCTGCCTGCCGTTAAGACATTTGTAGACTGAAAGAGACTCTGCTCCTCAGGTACAGCCACAGGCCTTTTTATCGGTTCTTGTTTTTCCTGTTTCCCGTGACAATGGAAAAGAATAAATAAAAGCTCTAAACTGGTGTGAACTGGCTCCAGTTTCGGTCTATGGATTACTTCAAGGACAGACACACCCTTTATATCTTAATGTTCCACACAGGAATTTTGCCTATAAAGATAGTTACAACCAAACTGGTCTACATTCTAAAACATAGTATTGCTAAATTTTAGACTGGCAAGAAAAACTGAGATGTTTATGGAAACTCTTTTTAAAGCTACGATCTTGGAAATATGCAAAGATAAAATTTAATACGTATTTTTTGGATCATTTAGACAAAGTGCAGCAACTGACTGGGGCTGTTTGAGATTCTCATTCAAAAATGAATGTTTTTATTATTATTATTATTTGATAATGGGATGGCTGAAGTAAATGAGCCCAGATGACTCCTGTTGAATTTTTGAGGACTTATATAAATCATCAAAACAAAATGGACTGTCTGTTCCCTGACTTACACTTTGTATTATGGACCCAATGTATTGTGATATCCTTGTGTCCTGTTCAGTACATCAACAACTCAGTAGCACAGACAGTACTCAAAAGAGGTAATGATGTGTAATAGGTGTTCATTTGTGCTAAGTTTAACATGACAGAATATATTTATAGGACTGACAAATAGTCTAAAAAGTGAGTCTCCACCTTAGAGTTAAGGAAGTGATTCAGCAGTTCTGACAGACATTTGTTGTCTTGTTCATTCTACCTGCATGAAGGGTGATGGTGAGCAAACAAGTTATGGGAGAGAAATTTTCAATGATATTACTATGATGTAAGTAAGTGACTAGCATTTCATTTTTCCATTATTACATGGCACAAGTGAGACATTTAAATATGTAATATTTAGTAAACAGTTTTTACAAGTTTCAGTAGGGTATGAATTCAAATCTACCTATATTGCATAACCAATTAACAGTTTTTAATATATTATCCTATTAGATTAAATATACATTTAGAATTCCAGCTCGCCTGACCCTAACCAGGATGAGAGAACAAAACACGGATGGATCGATGGTAATCCAGCTAACTTAAAACAGACCGCACCTGACTGAGTCGACACCTGTAGCTAGTACTCGATGTCAATCAAACGACGATCCCCGCCCATCCTATGATACACTGTATTCTTATTGGCTATCCTCCCTGCACCTGTCAAACCGTTCCTCCAACCACAAATCAACCTCACTACGCTCCAAGATGGCGGCTTCCATTACTGTATTTTTTGCGCTTCGTTAATAATAATACAATAAGAATATTATCACCTGAGATACAAGTATACCATTAAGGGTCAAATCATAGTAGACGCCTCCTTTTGTTTCTATTCAGCGTTGCCTAATGGTTACTTTTAGCTGGAGGTCGGGCGCGGTGGAAGACTGAGTGGAATCCGGACACTTCTTCGAGTATGGCCACCGATAATAAAATTCAGTTTTGGAGGAGAAACGCTAAGGTTCCGGGAAGGTATGCATTTCCTCCTCAACCCCTTGGTTTGCTACTGTACAGTCAGCCACGCTAGAGCTCTGAATATGTTCCTCAGAATTACGGTTTTGGCTAGCGTGTAATATAGTATTGACATCATTAGCTGCCGGGCTAGCTATTTTTGGTACCTCTTTAACTTTTTTTTTTTTTTTAAATAATTTTCGATGTTCCGGCTTTAATTGCAGCTAGTGCAGATAAATCAAGTTCCGCGCCGTGGACTTTAGTACGCCTGTTGTTATGGTATTTAATATTCTGTGTCAGATGTGCATGTTAAATGAAGTTGCAGCCATATGTCATTCTGCTCCATGGTGCCTCTGAACAGAGCCGAATATTAGAAATTAGCAGCAGTTGGAGAGCCATCCTGCCCTTTCCAGACATGTGACGTGAGCCCATTAGCTTACAGTGTCCGCTGGAATGGCCATAGCTTTCCCAATGTCCTGGTACACTTCTTCACACTGGCCCAATTTACAGAAATAAAACCTCGCCACATATATCTATTTGATTGTAACTTTCACAAAACTGAGTATAGAGCATGGAAAGCATGGGGTAGTTATACTGTACAATGACTGACGTCTTGTGTATCATACAATATCTGTATTTTAAATACATATTGAACATTTTTATTGTCCTGATAATGGAATATATATATTTTACCACTAGTTGCCCTCCCAAAGCAAGATAAAGTACTCTAAAACTAAATTATTTATTTCAAGTCTGTGATATTATTCAACTCACAAAAATATATCACAGATGTTTTATTGACTGTTATATGATATGCAAATTATGGGAAAGAGTTAAATCTGGGGCTCATTATTATTCCCGAATTGCATGAATCTAACACTTTTTTTTTTCCTTGACAGTTTATAGGCAATGTGATTCTGAGTATGATAAACAGTGCATTTTGATACTTTGTCCTGAATGCATTGAAGGCTGGGTGGCAAGTGCATCATTGATGCTGCGAAAAAGGAGAAGGTTACAAAGCATACATAAGAAACCGGCCATTAACTCCAGCCATGTAACGTAAAATTCTCAGGCTGAGACAAGGCTTCCATACAGGATCATAGGAAATGGTTTGGAATCCAAAAAACTGTATTACAATAAATGTAAATTATATATCAGTTTATGTAGGTAGATTTCACTAAACAAAAGTACAGCTGCAAGGCATCTTCTGGGGCTGCCAATCAAGTCCTTGACTGTGCCATCCTTTGTATATCTACTAGGAGAAGCAACTGAATCATTACCTTGGACAACTTTGTTAGAGTAAAGCTGATAGGTGTTGCAGAGCTTCAGAATTGCAGTCATTTTGTTTTCACATACAACCAAAACTTTGGTTAACTCTAAACCCAACTTGACTGTGTATTTACATTAAGCATTACAGGTTTGGAAATAAAAAGGTCAGATGTAAATGAGGACTGACCAGTATAATTGCCACTTTATTTCAAGGTGGGTTGAGGGTCAGCTAATGATAAGATGGAGATGAGTCATTCTCTCTGCTGTGAAATGTGATCAGGTGGAACTGACTGATAAATGATAAAAAAAACAGTATGGTGAGTCGGTTTAACCAGTTAGCAAAAGATGAAGACATCAGCTGGGTCAGCTACAACTGAAACTGGCAAGTGATAAACCTGAAAATAAGTTTTGGATAGAATTTGACTGGCTGAGGTGTACAGATGAGAAGTGCTGTGTGTTACATGAAGTATTGTAGAAATGTCAGACAAAATTCAGACTCCTCACTTTCTATGTGAGTGTAATATTGCAGAGAGATGGACATTTGAGCTTGTGCTCCTGATTTTTTTTTCCTGGTCTTCCTCTCCATTGATAGACAGAGGCACCAGTGCTACCAAGTGTTCAATTAATAAAAAAATAATCTTAAGCTTAGGTTTCTATGCATTGCAAAGGATTCTGGCACACCGAACCAGGAAATTGTGCCTTATGAGCATGCATTAGAGAATAAACTGTTTTTGGTGAAAATGGATGACTACACACACTTGTTGTGGAAAAGATATCGTGCTGGTTGCCATAGTTACACTTAGAAGGATGAAAATAATGAGGCTGTCGTGGGAATGAAAGGATACTTTACACCTCCCTTTGTGCCTTTTTGTTTGTTTTTCTTTTTTATGTAGTGAAAGTTGTCCAGAAAACCATGGGTCTGTTTCGGGGTCATCTTTCATACTTAACCTGGCTTATCATGCAGTTCAAAGAAACAGGTGGCGTATGAAAAGGGGAGGTCAAGTTCGCTGCCCGATGCAGGACTGCCATTGGCTGTACAGCCTTTGGCTTTATTGTTGGAGTAGAAGTGACTCACCTGACACTTGTGCAGAAAATTGGGGGGGGGCGCAAAGAGGGCACGAATATGTGGCATTACTTGCATGGGTTCAGCCATCTAGAAATTAAAACCTGGTTTAATTTTCACCCCAGCCTTAAACGTTATCACAGGTGACTTTGTTCTGGATGTTGACCCGAACTCTTTGTGGGACAGTTTTTGCATAATCATAATTAGGTTATTTTTGTTGTTGAGTGGTGATATTTCTGCAGCCATGACCACTTGGACAAACCAGTTTGAAAATGAATAAATTATATATATTATATAGCCTATATATATTATATAGCCTATATATATTATATAGCCTCTATATATATATATATATATACTGTATATATATATATATATATATATATATATATATATATATATATATATATATATATATATATATATATATACTGTATATATATATATATATATATATATATATATATATATATATATATATATATATATATATATATAATAAACTTTTGAGTCATGTTTACTGCTGAGGATAGCATTTTAATGTTATGTGGTTTGCTTGCTGCTCCTAAGAGGCAGCCTGAACACGTGTACCGTCCACACTGCACACACAGCAGGTGTGTTCCTGGTGACGCATATTGTGCAACACTAAGTCCCTTGCCAAGCACGATGCTGTACGGGCCATTGCGAATGGAAAGGTTGTCGTGTCAAGCCCTTGGGATGAGGCGCTCCTTCAGAGCGGCACAGGGTTCGCACGCCCGCCCGCACATTTAGCGCACTCTCGGTCACGGCGGTGTCAGTGTGTGGCCCTTTGTGGAACGGTGCCACCTATTTCTCCGGTGCCCACACTGTGCAGCCTGCGCCATTGAGCTTTCCATGTTACACAAGCTCGACGGGAGATTTTCACAAGGACCGATGCCGTCGTAACCCTTGCTGCTAACAAGATACTGACAATTTATCGGTATTACTTCAGAATGGCGTGACAATTCTGATAACCAGCGTGCACTGTCAATAGCATTAGAACTGCTTGGCCAGAATAGTTTATTAAATGCAGGTGATTTGATGTTTAGGAACCGGAGCACGTACCTTAATCAGTTGATAAGGCTTAAGGGGCTTATTGTCTAACATCAGTTGATTGAAAGCTTCTTGTTTTAAGATTAGAATGTGGTTTGGGGAGCATGCATATCTTATTACAAACACGTTGTTCGCTTTATGTTTTATTATCACAAGTAATTAAAGATGTATATCAACACGGAGAAGTGTAGCATTTTAATAATGGTGAAAGGATCCACATCGCTTGACACTAACTTGGCATACCCCTTACCCTGAAAAAACGCTAAAGTCACATCGTTTTCTCTGTTAAATCGAAAACTTCATTTGTTCAGACAGAAGTCGTGTTTCCTAATTTTGGCATCACGGATACTGACACGAATGGGGTGTACCTAGATCTGACATCACGTGTACTGCAATTATTCTTGTCATTGTAATGAAACGTAAAACAAATCACGATCTATATTTGCCATATTAAAACGGAAACTGTCGGCGAGCTTATGGACGCCAAACTGGTCATCAGACTGAGGTGGTGATTAAATACAAGGTCTGATGTGGCTGGCGTTAAGCAGATTGAAAGGCTTTTCGAGAAACCCTGTCATATGCACGACCAGCAGCGCTGTTATTAGAAAGTAGTCCGGGTAAGTAAAGTGGGATTCTGGCAGGGAAAAGCATTAGCATGCAAACAGCATGCAAACAGACGCCAGGAGTTTGTAACCACTGGAATCCATCATCTGGCAACTATTTTTAAGTGTTTAGCTGCTACAATCATACTAAACCGTTCCAAGTGTTGAGATTTTTACTGTTAATTTCACTTTAAATGTACGTTAAATTGCTGTAGCGATGTAGAAGCTTGGTTAACTCGCACCAGTTCGGTGGTTAGGTGATTCCGATTGAATGGGAACCTGCTGTCGAAACGGTGTTAGCAGTCCAGTGGGTCGGGTTTGAAGGCGTAGGGGCTGTCGAAGCGGGATTAATCGGCAGATCGCTGCCCGAGGTCAGGGGCAGGCCGGAGGAAGTCACCCTTGGATTGTACCCCGCTGCGTTACAACGGATCTAATGTACAGCGCTTGGGCCTGCTCTCTTTTTACAGTCATGGCAAATCACTACTAAAAATGCGGTTTTGTGTTGCTGCTCGGTTGACTTTGCAAAATATTATTCACGATCCTGTGAATTTGGCTCCTAGGACAGAAACCAAGGTGCCACGCGCCTCTGCATAGGTATACGTTGTGGCAATCGGGAGAGTAGCTGTGTGTGCAATGAACGCCAAGGTGCAATAAGCTGAGTCTGTTTATCGGCTCATCCTGCTGTACTGCAGAGTATTCCAGGTGGTGTTATGCTGACAGTGTCTGAGAGCACTGCCGTAACTGACCCGATCCCTGATCCAGAACTTCCGGAACCACTATAGAAATAACTTAATTGTTTACTTTTCATTATTTTTCCGTAGTTACCATACTTCACCCTACTTACATTTTAACAATCGTGGGATCGTGGGAAAGTTTGATCGTGAAGTTTAATGGTAGGAAGTCGCCAGGAGGTGTCCGCGATGCTCTCCGGGGGTGTCGTCCCCCCACCCTAACCCTTCTGCATTAGTGCGCACAGCCTGCTCTCTCTTCCCTGCAGTCTGCAGCCAGTGTATGGGGCGCAGCATCCTCCCCTCGACCCGCGGATATCACTTTCGTAAGTGCTGCATGCACTGTCATCCCATCCTGCCAAGTTCCCTCCCCCCCATCGCTTTTTTTTTCTTCTTTGTTTCCTTTGTTGCTTTTTCGAAATGCCTCACTTGACATTCTGCACATAGCTCCATTTGAACGTCTGAGTTGTTTGTGCGTAACTGGCTTACGTATTTACGTCATGTCACATCCAGTGCCTTTATCCCCGGGCTGCGTGGGCTGCTAAAATCATATTTCCCGTGACGTACTTTAAGGGAATGTAAGACCCCCGCGTGGGTTGCATGCCGGTCTTCATTTTGATCCGACTATATTGTTGAGTTAATGCTTCATTATCCGACTTGCTAATACCCATCTGTTAAATGTGATCAGTTTAAGCAATGGGTGCGAATGCTTGCTGTCTATAGAGCCCTTCCCCCCCCTTTTTTTTCAATGAGAGTGTTTGTTTAGCCTTGAGTCTTACTAAGGGAGATGTGAGGCCAGGCATTGGTTCTAGACACCGCCCCTGACAGCCTTCACAGCCTTAAGTTATGTCCAAATCCTATTTCATATTTCAATTCATATTTCTCCCTTTTTTGCTTTTTCTGTCTTCTGGGTTAAAACCAGTTGTCAGATTTTGGTTTTGACTCCAGATCATGAGTATTTTAGTGTTTATAGTGCTGTCAGCTCAGAGTAGACAGTCTCCCTGCCCTCCACATTAATATTTTTCCTAAATGTTAACTCGCATACTCTGCCTGTGCCCTGCAGCTTTGTGAAAGAAGCTCCCAAGCCAAACACTCTCTCTATAAAGTCCAAGAAGGTGTCCAGCTTCCACGAGTTCGCCCGCAGCACCAATGACGCGTGGGACATCGGGGACGATGAGGACGAAGAGTTCCTGGCAACCGGCCGCCATACGGCCCTTCCCCCACCAGCGCCCACGTCGGCACCGGCGCCCCCCGGCGGCCTCAGTGTGACGGAAGCACTGGATATGGACGAACAGGCAGAGTTCAAAGCAGAAGATGGGCGGGACAAAGGGAAGATGGGCAGCAGACAGACCAATGGGAGAGTGGTGAAGTCGAACAGTGAGGTCCAGCTCAGCACTGCAACAGGTGATGATGTAACACTTTTGAGCATAAATATGTACCATTTTTACAACATTGTCAACATTATTCACTTCACATGGGCGTGATCATGTTTTGGCTCATAAGTATATGTTTCAGACTTCTTCTTTTAAATCATCCACCAGTCTTATAACTGGTCATGGAGTGTTCTGGAACCTGTCCCTGGCAGCAAGTAGTTTGTATTGTTTTCTGTATGGACTGGGACTAGCACAAACCAGCCCAAGTCTATCAGAGATGGCAACCGCATGTTATTTCTAATGCTTTGGATAATAGTGTTTGTTACTTCATTGCCACGGTCAGCAGAATAGAGCAGATGCACAGTGTAGCATTTGTCAGGTTTGCTAGTGTAAAATCGGCTTCCTTCTCTTCTCCAGTTCGCTCCCCCTTACAGAAGCAGCAGTCCCTCCCACTCCGTCCCATCATCCCTCTGGTGGCCCGCATTTCAGACCAGAATGCCTCTGGAGCCCCGCCCATGACCGTCCGGGAGAAGAGCCGACTGGACAAGTTCCGTCAGCTGCTGGCCAGTCCCAACACAGACCTGGGTGAGCTCCGCCCCGTCCGCCTCCTCCTCCTCCTCCTCCCCAGCCATCTGTGTGATTCTGAGAGAGAGCGAGAGCGAGAGAGCAAAGGGTAGCAATTATTTCTATTAGATGGTCCAAAGCAGAAAGCCATCACTTGCCGGAACAGGAAATTTTATAACTTCCGGCAAACCCACGCATCAGGTTGCCCTGCACTGTCAAGGAAACATGGTGCTCGATAGAATTGCTATGGGTGAATACCACTTCACTGCGTCATACACCGTAATGGTGAGCCAATCGCAACAGCAAGAGATCGTCCCTATGACAAATCACTGTCAGAGTGATTGTGTTACTCTTACTGAGCAAACATGTTAGGGAATTTTTACGGTGGGTATAGACGGCAGATTGTAAGAAGTCTACAGATATGTAATGTCAAAATAATAATTATAACCAGCATTTTTAATTCATTCCAGTCATCTTACATTGATATATAGACCATTTGATTATAGTAAAGGTATTTGAAGGTTTTCAAGTAATTAAGTAATTTCAATCCATCTAGTTTTGATAGGTGATTTTAATGGAATAGAGATTCAGTAGGGATTTTATACCATGCAAGAGAGCAGTCAGTGCTGTTGTGCGTCCTGGGGTGTCAATGGCACGTGGCACACTGAGAGGGTCCCAGAATTCTCATCCATTTGAAATGGAAGTCTACAGTTTTTAAACATTCAAACACAGCATGACATGGTTAAAGATATTATCATTATTATTTGTCGCTAATGTGAAAGTACTACTGCCCAAAGACCTGCAGTTTTACCTTAGTACCATGTGAGGGAGCCAGTGCTCCACCACTAGACTTCATAAGGACAGTAAATCGGGGCAAGTGGTTCCCAGTCAGTCAGAGCTGCTTCTCTACAATCCTTTGAACTGACACCAAGCTTTGTGTTTTCTTGGACTGTGTTCTGCGGCTGGCCTTATTCTACTCATAGCGCACACACTGCTAAATATCATTTTTCAAAGCATTAATCCGGGACTCAGTCAGATCAATGTTAATGTCCAGCCAAAGGAAATCAGACTGGGCCTATTATGCCAGCCTTCTAGTGCATTCTCTCTCTCTCTCTCTCTCTCTCTCTCTGACTCACCCTCACACACACCCTCTGTTTTTGTTTAGCTATTTTGAAGACATCCCTTTCTAGTGGTTTCAAATGCACAGGCAATCGCATTATTTTAGATTTATATTCTTTTGCTGAGCATGATTTATCACGCTTTCTCCATCTTTCGTAAGCATATGCATCACCTGTCTCATTATTCTAATGGCTGAAGATGATTCATACATGCAGTATTTTATTTTGTTGAAGGTTTTACATACACTCTGTTTTAATCTAGCAGTATATACGTTTGAAGATTGGTTCCTTTGGGTGTCTGTGTGCTCCTCCTCTTCCTGTGTACCGGCATCAGTGCTCTCATTCTTTTTTTTTGCTTTCTTTCTTTCCGCAGAGGAGCTGCGGAAGCACAGCTGGTCCGGGATCCCGCGGGAGGTGCGGCCCGTCACTTGGAGACTCCTATCGGTGAGTCTCCCTGCCCGTTCCCCGTTGCTACGTAGGTATCTGTCTTTCCTGTGGCTAAAGGAAAGTGGAGAACCTCCGGCCGGCTTGGGCGTCACGGTCAGGTACAGAACTTTCGACTCTCGGTGGCGGGTAACGTTGATCTGGGGTGGCTTCCATAGCTCACTGTGTTTATGCTGTTCGTGTTAAAACGGAAACGAGGAATTAGAATATTGTCTGATTTGGGGTAATTTAGGTTGTAATTCAAACTTTGGAGTGTGTTTTTATGCCACTTGACTGGCAACTGAAAGGCAGCTGGAGGTGGTTCAAGATCCAAATAACTGCCTGACTGGGTGAAAACCAGTGCCCCCTGTAGTCCTGGAGGACCCGGGATTATGCACCTAACCCCAGGAAAGCTGCACAGGAGAGAAAGAGCTTGGCAATGTGTGATATTTTACAGAACAATAAAGCGCAGCAGGGGAGGTGCTGTACTTGCCAAGGAGTTGTGGTCACAATGCAGACTGTGGCCTTTGAAAGGCCACTTGTTTTATTCTATGAGGGAGGCGGAGCAGAGCCGGCCAGCGTTTGGTCAAAGACCTGAAGCTGGGGCCCGTGGTTCCAGGACTGTGTACCGTCAGCTGACAGAAAGCCAGAGGTCAGCTGGGTCTTGTCAGCCGTCTATGGTCCCCTGCTGGATTCTCTCTCTTTTTCTCTGGAGTCCTTCATAATTCAGATTAGACAGGGATCCACCAATAGGGTCTCCTGCCCAAAATCCTGGGCACAATCCAAAAGGCGTGTTGTGTAACCAGGATCCACTTTGTGCAAGGTTAATTACCCACTTGCCCCCCAAGTCAGATTGCTGTTTTTTTGACTGAGTGGGCAATGCTGTGTTGCTGGTCCTCTCTCTGTAGGCAGTGACCTTGTCTTTGCTGCTTACTGATATGGGGGGGGGGGCGTGGAGCCTTTGTGGAGTAAAAAATCCATAATCGTATCCAGTACACACTGAAACACAAGTTGACAGACTCGCATCTGAGTGTTTGCACAGGTGAGCTTGAGGGCCGATGCCTGATGTCACTCTCTCACATTCACTGCTCCATAGCGTCCAATCAGCTCTCACCCCAGTATGTGTCATCAGTAAGAATTTTGAATATGTGAGACCTGCAGGTTTAGCATAATGTCCAAAGGGAAAGTGCTCATGGGAGTTTCACTTACACAAAAAATGTTCTGAGGGCAGAATGAAAAAAAATAATTGATTGGTTCAGAGAGAGAACAAATCAAATGTCTTGGTCCTGCCTCCTCTACTTGCTTGGACCTACCTCCTCTACAATCTGTTTGGTTGTCCCTCAGAAACAATCATTTCGTTCTGCCCTAAGAACATTTTCATGTACTGTAAGTAAAAGTCCCACGAGCAGAGAATGTGGCTGTCTAGCTGTAGCTGAGGTGTGCTGCTCAGATGCCAAGGACTGTACAGTAAGTCTGCTGGAAAGGGTTAGACGAACGGCACTGTGCTGTGAGCACGCGCCCGTACACACACACACACACACACAC